GGGGGGGGGAGAGGGTATCGTAAGAAAATTAACTGCCAGCTGGCTGGTGTTTAAAACGGATTTCATCGAGAGTGTGGGCAATCCTAAAATGTATTTTTGCGACAAGATACCAATTTAATGGAAAGACAGGAGGGCGATCAGGACCCTGTCATGCCTGGGAGATACAACATTGCAACTTCAGTTCTGTAATCAGGGTTGAGATGCAAAGATGGACCGAAAGGTCCACTCTGAAATACACACACACATACTCCACCTGAGTAAGAGTAGACGCCTAAACAGACTCTTCTTGGCTACTATACTGCTGTGAAACCACCTTGAATACTTTCCTGTCATTGTGGGCCTAACGGATTGTAGAGTGTGACAATAAGATACCAGAGCCAACATGGCTTTAGCTCAAATCCTATAAGTACAGTGCTGTATTATGGAGCAAGAAATAGGTTTTCCATATAACAATAATGCCAGTAATTGTTGACTGTATCTTAATAGAATATTTCGCTCTGCATTGTGGTAAGGATGTTACAGATAGTCCTGATTTGAAATATGTATTAATATGATTTAAATATTGTCTAATATGTGGCTTTAATTAATAAAAAGGGCTTCCCTTGCCTTGATTAATTTTCATGAAAGTACTTTAAAGATAATCAGAATTTTATGTTATTTTTTTACAATTTTTAGATTAGTTGGTTCTGATTTAAATGTTTGTATTTAAAATACAACCCAATTCACAAAAGCATTGTCAATATATATGTTACTGTGATCTGTGGTTTTAAAGTATTTCCATGAATCTTAGGAAAAGTTGTTCAGTTGTTACAGTACAAAGCACATAAATAAAATAAATAATTAAGTTAACACAATTCTTTTTTTTCATACTGCTGTTGTAGCAATTGTATTGTTCAGTGTGTACCAATTGCTTATATTTTCAACCTCTAAAGCTCTCAATTGTTATTTGGAAGGGTAGTTGATACCTTTCACCAGCCACTAAAAATTGCAACCATAAACTAGCTTTTATTTATGTGCAGGTCCTCATCAGGCTGAGCACTACAGAATTTTTATCATGTTTACTTTAAGGCCTGTTATGGTTATTATGTTCCCATAATTAAAACATCAAAAACTGAACAATTTTTTTCAATCTTTTTTTAAAATAAGATTCATGTACATTACTTTTTAGAAACAATAACGCTGTTATTAGAAGATCCATCTATATGCTGATTAACTCATGGAATTTAGGCGTTTGGGTGTACTCTTTTATTTATAGTCTATGATATCATATTGTGCCCTTATTCCATGTTTGTGGTTTAGAGAATGTTCTGTTGCTTACTGAGAAATATTATGTTGTTTACTTTGAAACATTAATACCTACTTCATACTCAGATCTTAAACTTATCTAGGTCAAAGGAAAGTGCAGCTGCTTTTGTAAGGATGTTTATTAGGAAGTAGTTCCCACTGTAATTCCATGAGGCTTATTTTTAATTTGTTTAGGTCTGTGTTGTATGTTTAGAATTGTGTAATAGCTTACTATTATTAGAGCTAAGCTCATAACTAAGCAAGTACATAAGAAAATGAATATAATAAACCCGTTATACGCCATTAAGGTATTGGCCTTAGTCCTCAACAACACATCCTTACACTCAAGGATCTTTAAGTCCTCTCCAAGTTTCAATCTTCTTGACTCCAATCTCCATTTGGATTGGTTACTGAACCAAGGTATAGAAAATCCTTAACAATTTTGCATTTCTTTAACTTAATTTCATGTAATGTCGCAGTGTACATCAACTAGCCCTTTAATGTTAACTTTTGTAAACACATTTTGCAGTATCAGCAATCAAACACTGTCCTGCTAATATGGAAATTAAGTATGCTGATTATGTAGCACCTCAAGACTCTGATTTTGGCTCTAGATAGAGACAGCTTGAACTTAGTAAGGATTTCACTATCAGAAGAGCTCTGATAATGACACTGTCTACACAGCTCCAATTGAATAGTCCTACATTCTTCCAACCTCTTTGCTTAAATAACTTTGCCTGCTCATAAACTGTCCACCAAATCTTATTATCTGTTCAAAGTAGGCCTCTGTAAGGAGACTGGGCACCTTTTGAGTTGCCATGGATGGGCCTTTTAACATTTTGAGGACTGATTATAATTCTGGTCTATCTGGTATGACATCTCAGTGACTACTGCATCTGGGAAAGGCTTCTTAGCCAATAACCAAATTGCAATGAAGTTATGGAATATTCTTTAAAAATCTCAGTCTGAGGAAGGAAGACATTATATGAAAGTCTGTACCCAAGGAACACTTTGTAGAGACTTCAAAAATAAGATATATTTGGGCAGTCAGAATTATGAGCAAAACTTGTGAGAAAAAGAGATCACAAAAAAGATACAAGTGGGCAATGAGTATGCGTTTAAATTTTTCAGTGAATTTTTGGTGCATAACTCTAGTGGTCCTTTACAAGAAATATGTATTGCAGAAGGCGAGCTTCAGTCAGCAGTCTCTTGTTTTCTGCTCATCTTTCCTTCCACTTCAGCAGATTCAAAACATCCTTGGGAACAGAACATTTCTATTTTAAACACACACCAGAAGCATTTTGCAATGAAGAGATTAAGCCATGCACACTAAATACTTAATGAGACTTCTGAAAGCTGTATTAAACTTGATCTCCAGGTCATTTATGACCTCAGCAGATGGTGATTCTTGTAGCTGAACTGAAAGATACAGAACTTCAAACACTCACTAGCATAAAAATACAGATGTTTATACTGTATGGTACAACACATCTGATAAAAATGCACTTGAGCCACACAGAATAAATATGCTTACATTAACCTTTCAAGACTAATATCTTAAACTATCATGTACATTTCTATTGCCTTTTCTAAATCTGGAAACCAGACAGATTTTCATTATACTATTTTATTTTTCTAAAGCTTATTGTAAAATAATCTGAATATCTTAGATTGCTATATGTGACCAAGTCACATCCAATTTATGGTGACCTTTTGAATGAGCAATCTTCAAAATGTCCTGTCCTCCAGAGCCCTGCTCAGCTCTTGTAAACTCAAGGCCATAGCTCCTTGGGGAGTCAATCCATCTCATATTTTGGTTTTCCTCTTTTCCTCCTGCCCTCAACCCTTCCCAGCATTATTGTCTTTTCCAGAAAATCCTGCCTTCTCAAGACATGCCCAAAGTAGGACAGCTTCAGTTTCATTATTTTTTTTTCCTCCCGAGAGATAGTTCAGGCTTGACTTGTTCTAGGACCCACTTGTTCCTCTTTCTGGCAGTTCAGGGTATCTGCAAAGCTGTCCTCTAGCAACATATTTCAAACGAATCATTTTTCCCCTGTCAGCTTTCACACTCATATGTAGTGATTGGGAATACAGTATCTCAGATAGCCAAACACAAAATGTAGTACTGATAATGTTTCTACTTTGGAAGGAACGTTAAACATTCTGCTTCATTAAAAATAATCTATATCATGTAAGGTTACAAAAAGTCACTGGGTTGGGCAAATTGTAACTTTTATATGATGTTGGACTACAACTTCCATTAGTCCTGGCCAGTAGCAACCAAAGATGAGAGACCATGCCTTGCACTCCTTAATCCAGATACAATGCATACATGCAATTATACACACATACGTGGATGCCTTTGTACACAACAGCAATAGTGCTTCGCAAGATACCAATACAGACATATAAAACAACACTGTACAGTATTTCTAACCGACCGGCTTGAGAAGAAGACAGCACATTTCCCTTGTACGCCTTCCGCTGCGTCACGGGAACGCTGTGGTTTAGTAAGATACACGTAGCAGCTAAGAAGAGCTGTTTACAGTGCATTAAAAAGATGGATTGAATCAATGAAAGAAGCTACAACCTTTAATGTGCAAAACCTGGATAGGACTGTTAATAAAGGGATCTTCTGGATTTTTAAATTTGTATTGTAGGCATCCTTCAGTCTCAAGAAACTATGGTAACATGCTCTGAACAGCGTCTAGTGTGGCTGAGGAGGCCAATTCGAGAGTGACAATCCCTTCCACACTGAAGACAAATCCAATCTGTCCCTGTGCAGCTCCCTGGTTTTGCTGGTTTCCGGGCTGCCTCTTTGCTTCGGCCTATTTGTATTAATGTACAGTACTCAAAAACGACAAAGGGGGGAAACTACAATTCCCAGCAACCTCCAGGGGTAAACATCCCGGCTGCGGCAGCCGACCGAGGCTATATAATCGTCCAAGACGGCGCGGGTTTCAGACTCTTGTCGGAGGCTTGCTGGGGGTAGGAGTGGGTTTTGTAGCTGCCTGTCGCTCCCGTTCCCTCGTCGAAGCTTGAAAAATTACCAGCTGGTGCTCTTTTTTTCTCTCTCAGGCTTCTCGCTTTCCCTTTTTTTCTCTCTCTCTCTCTCTTTTTTTGCCAATTCGATGAGGCCAAATGAAGTGGAGGCGCCTGCCTTGGCGGCGCGCTTGGAGGAGCTGAAGCGTCGGGCGGCCGAGTGCGTGGAG